TTTTATATTTCTGATAATTTATGGTGAAAGAAGACATACATCTTTAGTACTCTTTAGAAATTCTTTATGTATGTAATTTTAGTTTTTGGTATGTGTGTTTAAATGATCACCACTTAGTATGAAAAAAATAAATATGATTTAATGAAATATAATTTAATAGTTCATTTACTTGTGTGAATATTTCCAGTATATTACATCAACTTTATAAAATGCATATAGAGTGGTGATGAAAAAAAGCATTAATTAGACTACCTTTTCAAAAGTAAAAATGTATGTGATCTTTCTTTTACAAAGATAAGTTTTTTTTTTGTATTAGAACTAGGCATATGTGAGGAACTCATAACAATAAGTATATGAATCTGAAAAATAATAAAAACATACTGGGAATTTAGATCACTCTTTTTAAGACTTGTAAGACTAGATTAGGTTGAAAAGGGATATGTGTGTATAGGAACCAAGATGAAAATCACTGAACTGATGTATCTTGTAGCTGGCTTGCTTTATCCTTCATTAGGAATACAATTTTGTCTCTGTTTGCCAAGTTATATAAAATTTAATTCTCCCTCAAATATTAACTTTGCTATATATTTTTATTCAAAAGAGAATTTCTGTTTTGGAAGGAGTGGGGTGGGGACAGAGATAAGAAGGGTTAGGAGGTTGAATTATAATCTAAAAAGTTCTGTCATGTCCTAATCCTTCACTGTGTGAATGCTCTCTTATTTGGAAAAAGAACATTTGAGATGTAATTAAGTCAAAGATTTTGAGATGAGAAGGTCATCTTAGGTTATCTGGGTAGGCTCTATATCCAGTGATATGTGTTCTTATGAGAAACTGAAGAGGAGGAGGAGGAGGAGGAGGAGAAGGAGGAGGAAGAGGAGGAAGAGAAGGAGGAGGAGGAGGAGGAGGAGGAGGAGGAGAGAAGAAGGTGGTATGAGTTTGAGCAGAGTAAAGAGGCCTGAGCCAAAGAAGAATGTCAATGTGGAGGAATGGAATGCTGGCGGCCACAGATGCCAAGAGGCAGGGGTGGAATCTGCCCGTGGCCCTGGGAGGGAGTGTGGAACCGATACCTTGATTTTGTCCTGGCCTCCTGGAACTTCAGAGCATCACCAGTGACCGCCCAGTTTGTGGCGATCTGTTCCAGCGACCGTAGCAAACAAATACAGGAGGCTTTCAACAAGATTAGAATATAAGAAAATATCATTAAAAACTCTGTGCCCGGCATGTAAATAATCACTGGTTGAAGTACATACAGCACAGTTCCATCCTGCTATGGTTCATAAAGCACTTCAAGGTGGTTCAGAGTCTCATTTAGTAGGAGACCACATTTTTATAAAATATTTTGTAAAGCCTGACGAATATCAGGGTTTTTTTCCTCCTGATACCACCCAGCTCTCCGCTTCCCCGACACCAGCTGGGTGTCCTCCAGTTCAAGCCGGGTCTGACACTAACTCCACGCAGTGTCGGGTCGCCACAGGTTTACGAGCTCGGTGCCCCCAGGCGCCCAGTCACAAGCACTGTGTCCCCAGATTACTCACACTTTTGGGGGGATATCCACAGCACCAACCTCAGATTTGATCATTTGTTAGAAAGGCTCTCTGAACTCAGGATTTTTTCACTTTCCAGTTTAAATGTACTGGCTTATTGCACCCACTTACAATTACTTTTTGTCACTAGAACTGCATGGGATAGATACTTTTATGAAAGCAAACCTCCCCCTCGGCTACTTTTTAGGAAGGTCTTTAAAATTATGGTGATCGTTCACACAGTTGGAAAATAGTCATTAACTCTTTGACCCACAAAAACTAATGGCCCGTTTGTTTTTGTGGTGCTTTTATTCCAGGAGGCACATATTAATAGCTACCTCGTTTCACCTCTATTTCTCCTAAGGCCGTTATGTTAATGCACCCGGGCTGCCTTTAAAAAGGAGAGACATTTTGGCAGGAAATGAAGTGGCGCTAACAGGGATGATTGCTTTGTCTCCGGGGCCTGGAAAGAGGTGGACACACACCGCTATAATTATTTGATTAATAAATGACAAATCCCGGGAACCATACACACAATAGTTCTAACCCAGGTACTTTTCTGCATAAATTAGAGACCTGTGTCTTGTTAAGGATGATCAATATTTTGGTGATTAAAATGTTACAGTGAGGGAAATGATAGACTTTTTTTAAAAAAAATATATCTTATTGATTTTTTTACAGAGAGGGAGGGAGAGAGAGAGAGAGAGAGAGAAAGAGAGAGAAAGAGTGTTAGAAACATCAATGAGAGAGAATCATCGATCAGCTGCCTCTTGCACACCCCCTGCTGGGGATGTGCCTGCAACCAAGGTGCACGGCCTTGACCGGAATCGAACCCGGGACCTTTCAGTCCACACACAGGCCGACGCTCTATCCACTGAGCCAAACCGGTTTTGGCATGATATATATTCTATTCTGTGATTTCATACTTTTGCTGAACAAAGATATTTCATATTTTATATTGCTAGATATTCTGAAAGTTTTGCTGGGGGTTTTCAACAATAGCAGTTTTTTCCCCAATGATTGACATCCCCCCCCCCTCCCCCGAGAAGTTGTGTGTCTGGGGATCATGTTCTAGCTGCCCTTGTAAACTTAAAGTACCATGTTACCTTGCACATTTCCTTCCCTTCATAAAAACAAAGCATGCATTATAATTATATGTATGCCCTTGAAGTAGTGTTTCTGACTCCTTTCCCCTCGTCTCCATCATTACATAGATGGCGATGTGAGGAAGGGACATTAGAGAAGAAAGACACGATCTCTGACTTCCTTTGGGGAGGTGACTCCGGGCCTCTGCTGTGGCTGCCGGGATGGGAGATGGAGAACCCCGCTGGGCAGAGGCCCCTGGGTGCCCGGAGCCGGTGCAATCGAGGTGAAGTGGATGGAGGGTTCCTGGTGGCCGATTAAAATAAGTGCCGATTAGACAGCACGGTGCTGTTTGGAAGCTAATTTCACACACATTATTGAGCTGTCTTCTCAGGGGCCTTCACCCACCGGCGTTAGGAACCGAAGCACGGTGATCTATTGGCTGTTAGACAGATATCGGGACAAGGACTTGATGGGCAGTCTGCCTTCCCATCCCAGGGTGTTCTTTTCCTGCCAGCCTGCCTTCCCCGCTGAGATGGAGGGGGGTGGCTTCTGCCCCCTCCTTCCTCCCTGTGGGTTGCCGAGGGGGTCACTGTCTTCAGGATGGTCTCGGCTTTCTTTTCCCGGTAACACTATACAGAATCAAGTTTCTGGAACATGTATTTCTCCCTTTTCTTGACCATACCAAGCCCCTCAATTCCCTGTCCTTTTTCATGCAAATAAAAATGAGAAAATAAGGGTATTATTTTAATTCTGGACTGTCTTCCAGATTCCCATACTTGTTTTGACTTTGAGATAAAATGTTCATTTTCACGGTTTTTGGTGGCACTAATCCTTTATTTTTTTCCTCTATCTCAAGTTATGCCGCTGTTGGCAGTGTTTGTTTATGTTAAGATTTTTTTTTTTAAAGTTTTCGGATTTTTTTGGTTTTATGATCTCAGATGCCACAGCACTTTTTATTTATATAAATGATAGTTGTGGCACAGCAATATTTCCCTTCCCCGAAGGAAGGAGCTATGTTTGTAACAAAATTCAGGTTTGGTCAAAGCCTTAAACGTATTTGTTTGAGACACAGTCTTGATTATCTGTGCGCACTGCAGGGAGTTTGCAGCAGGACAGTCCTTAATTAGTATCCCCAGGGCAGAGTCCTGGCAGTAACTTTTTCTGCAGACTCGCTTGCTTACTCTGTAGCACATCTTTCTTTATTTTGATATATTTGTGATTTGCACAGAAGTTATTTTAATATCCATTTCATGGATATGGAAGTCGAGATATGAAGTGGAATGTGACTGTTAATAATAACAACTGAGCTATTTTTATGGCCAGACTTTGTGCTGTGTTTACATGTATAGTTTTTTTTTTGTTTTTTTGTTTTTTTTAATCTTCATAACCTTTGAGGAAGCTACTCTTATTACCCTCATTTGACACAGGAGGCAAGTGAGGTTTTGAGAGGTTGAAGGACACTGGCTGTTACGTGGATGGTAAAGTTGGAACCAAACTCTGTGTTGCTAGGTAAGGGTACTAGGAGAAGGGAGTGTGATGAGTGATAAGACTGGGGTCCAGAAGAGATGGGTTGTTTCTGGCATGTCAGTGGGAAGCAGAAGCTGGAGGGCCCCATGGCAAGTGTGAGCACCGTTCCAAAAGTATGTGACTCCTTTGGAGCTGGGCTGGTGATCTTGACACTTCCTCGTTCACCTTGGACGTCACCTTCTTTTTGGCTCCTGACTTTGCTTTACTTTGTGACTAGTGCAGAGTGTGACATACAGTGCCAGATAGACACCAGCTTAGAAGGGCTGTGGCTTAGCAAAGACAGTATTTCTCACCCTAACTGGTTTGGCTCAATGGATAGAGCGTCAGCCTTCGGACTCAAGGGTCCCAGGTTCGATTCCAGTCAAGGGCATGTACCTTGGTTGTGGGCACATATCCAGAAGGGAGTGTGCAGGAGGCAGCTGATTGATGTTTCTCTCTCATCGATGTTTCTAACTCTCTAACCTTCTTCCTTCCTCCCAGAAAAAAAAAAAAAATCAATAAGATATATTAAAAAAAAGAAAATATTTCTCAAATCCATCTGTCTCTTTCTCTGTAAAATGAGAAGATTGGATTAGGTGGTCTGTAAAATCCCTCCAGAACCACCTCCTTGTAATATATAGGAATTGCTAAACATGGGCAGAATAAATTCTAAATTTAGGATTTGAATTTTATGATTGTCTTGTCCTCCTTGTCCTGAAATAATCGGTTAAAGCACCATATTCTTAAGTCATCTTGTAGAATATTACTTTATTTAGGTATTGGGCTTAAATTCTATTGTGGGGGGGGGGGCTGAAAAATTTTGTGGCAATACTAACTATCTCACTAATACAAACCTACTTTTTTTTTTTTTTTTTCCTCCCCTAGGCCCTGCAGGAGCGGCTAAAGATGTGTAAGTATTTAATATTATTATTTGCTAAACTCTTCCTAAGGAACACACTCATTTCATGATTATGACCTTTAGATATTTGTAGGTATGGCCAAAGAGACTGGAAATACTTTCTGTACTATGTACAAATCAAGATTATCATTTGGTTTATGACTGAAGTGCTATTTGAAGAATGAGATTGTGACTCCCCCACCCCCTCCCATAGATTTTTTAAAAAAATTGATGTTGAGAGGGAGAGGAAGAGAGATAGAAACATCAATGATGAGAGAGAATCATTGATTGATCAGCTGCCTCCTGCATGCCCACTGCTGGGGATCGAACCTGCAATCTGGGACTGTGTCCTGACCAGGAATTAAACCATGACCTCCTGGTTTATAGGTTGATGCTCAACCACCTAGCCAAGCAGGCTGGCAGAAAAGTTAAAAGAGACAAAAATCAGCTGTTATTCTGCCACCTGAGACAACCATCATTAATAGTTTACACTATTCCATTTTTTTTTAATTCTGCCCAATTGTGTGTATGTCTGACCTTGTACATTGAAGTCTGTTACCCTTTTATTTAATTTTTGCGCAGAGGATATATACCCTGTTTCCCCGAAAATAAGACAGTGTCTTATATTAATTTTTTCTCCCAAAGTTGCGCTAGGTCTTATTTTCAGGGGATGTCTTATCTTTCCATGTGCTAGGTCTTATCTTCGGAGGATGTCTTATTTTCGGGGAAACACGGTAGGTGTACTTTTAGGCTAAAAGGTTGAAATCAGTAGAGTTAGAAAAGCTGAGGGTGGTTTGGGGAGGGAGTTATCTGTGGCGAGGGAGAAAATAACTGATGGAAATAGGTGTTAGAACAGGCGACAAGGATTAAAAATATAGATTAAACTTAGAAACTCTAGAGAAGGAGGAATGCATGGGTGAAGATATATAAAATTTAATCGCCTTAAGACAGACTCACATGCATATCTGGGAGTGAGCCTTCCCTTTTCTCCCTCCCTCTATCTCTCTAAAATTAAATCTCAGTGCAGTGACATGCAGAACAAAACAGGAGTGGCTTCAATGTGATGACATTTTGCCGCTTTCATAAACCTGCAAAGATCAGCCATGCTTTTTTAAATGGCAGTGAATGATCTTAGCTCGTTGGCACAAACAGGTTGTGTTGGGATATTTTTGGTTGGAGATGGCAGAAGCCCAGTTTAAACTGGCTTAAACAAACAAACAAAAAGGAATTTATTGGCACGTGTAACGGAAAAGCTCCAGGGGCTTGGCCTCATCATCTGGGTTCAGGTAATCAAATGATAGGAACGAATGCCCTCAGCTCCACCTTCCTGTTTTTGGCTCCGCGCTTAGGCAGCTTTCCCCAAGTGGTGATGGAGATGCCAGTTTATGTCTTATCAGCTTAATGATTCCTGTGGGAAAAGAGCTTCTCTTTCCTTGTGGTTTGATTAAAAGTTCTAGGGTGAGCCGAAACCGGTTTGGCTCAGTGGATAGAGCGTCAGCCTGCGGACTGAAAGGTCCCAGATTCGATTCCAGTCAAGGGCATGTACTTTGGTTGCGGGCACATCCCCAGTAGCGGGTGTGCAGGAGGCAGCTGATTGATGATCCTCTCAACGATGTTTCTAACTCTCTATCCCTCTCTCTTCCTCTCTGTAAAAAATCAATAGAATATATTAAAAAAAAAAAAAAAAGTTCTAGGGCGAGGCTCTCCGTGGCCAGGACTGGAGTTCTGTGCCTCTTTCTGAAATCGTCAATGGGCTAGGGAACGTGAGCTTCTCATTGGCCAGGTCTAGGTCATGTGCCCATTGCTGCAGCCAATCAGTGCCATTAGCTCTATAAGGCCAAAAAGTGGGAGAGTGGTTTCCACTCCAAAGAAAAATTGGGATGCTGTTACCAGAATGGGGGCAATTACAACTGGGCAGGCAGAAACAAAGCATGTTCTCCATGTAGGCCAATTTTCATGTTATTAAAAAAAGGCTCAACTTAAAATTTTAAGCAATAGTTATAAATATGTTTCAAATAAGAAATGCTATTAAACAAGTTGACTCAGACTTAGTAGTTGCTGTTAAAAGTAAGAGACCATAGCCACTCACTATAAGCAAGATAATTTAAGTGCTTCTTTCATTTAAAACTTGTAAAGTGACATTTCATTAAGATTCCTTTCTTGACAAAGCAATTTTATTCTTATGAAAGGTAGCAGCTGGAGAGAAAATTATCTTGGAATGAGTTAACATAAAACATGCTGAAACTCTGTCTTTTTTAAAAAAATGAAATTACGAATTTCCAGACTTGAGTTTCCTTGGAACCCTTAATTAATTTCTGTATGTAAAGCACTTTTATCAGCTCTCTGTTCCTTGTTACGAACCAGAGGGTGTCTGATGGACCCATGCTCTGTGAAGTAGTGGGCAGGGTGTGGAGGATTGGCGGGGGTAGCATGGCAAAGCATGCGTTTGGGGAACAGAGAGACCTGCTGCCATTTACTAGCTGTGTGAGGCTGTGTCCCTAGTGTTCTTATTTGCAAAATTGGAATAGCACTAACTGTGCAGGATAGCCATCTTCATCATTACCATCATCATCTGCAGTTAGTAGCTCATTAATGAAGGACATTGGGTGACATTTAACGTCAGTGCATAGATTAAGTAAGAGTCCAGAGATGAAAGATAATTTTGAAAGGCATTGGGGGTCAGAGGAGCCTAGCTAAAGGAGCCAAGTTCTCATTGCCTCAGGACCCCTTGCTTTTTATTCACACAATTTGTCCTAAGGCAAGGTGGAGATATACATTTCAAAGAGTAGGGTTTTGTCTACAGAATCCATTGTCAGATTGGGGAATAACCTACGCCCAGTTCAGGTGTTTGGCCAGTAGGAGTCAATAACATGTAGATAAAGATGCCCTGAGCTGTCTGGCAGCAAACAATCATCCTTTTCAGGTTTGGGGAAATGCCTTTAGCCATTCCCAAAGGTGATAACACAGGTAACTTGGCTCTTGTTGAGTCCCCAAGTTCCGCCAACCTTTTGAGGAAACTCTTGCAATTATGACATGCTGGAATTGGCTTCCAGCAGTGTGAGGCTGTGTCCTTAGTATTCTTATCTGCAAAATTGGAATAGCACTAACTGTGCAGGGTGGCCATCTTCATCATCACCATCATCCTCCGCAGTTAGTAGCTTCTTTTGATTGAGGGCTGTGAGTTACATAGCGACTCTAACACTTCCGATACATTATCTCATTCCACACCCATTGCAGTCTGATGGGGACAATAATGCTATTTCATTTTTCAAATGAGGAATGAGGCAGAGCGCTTAACCAACTGCTCGAGGGTTATGATGGTTATTGGTACAGTAGATTTTGTGTCCTAGTATAATACTTGACCAAATATGCCTTGCTGCCCCCTGTAAATGCTAGAGAGGGTTGGGTGGTTTAAGTGTTATTGAAAATATTTAGCAGAGCCTCTGTAGTGAATACCTAATGGCAGAAGACCCATTGCCTGAGGGCCTTGCCTTCATAGAAATCACACAGCCCCAGTGGGTGTCCATCCATACGCGGTTAGATTTTCCTTGGGTAGGACCCAGCGGAACATGACCTTGAGGAGATAAAGTAGATGGGTGGCTTCCTCCAGGGAAGTGTTGCTGAAATGCTTGACTACAAGACATGGGCTAGAGAGAAGGGGAGGGACACCCATGGGGCTGATGAATGGAGTGTGTGTGTGTGTGTGTGTGTGTGTGTGTGTGTGTGTGTGTGTGTGTGAATGGACTGGAGGTGAAGTTGTAACAAGACAGTGGAGGTCTTGGGACTGGGAACAACGGAAGGAAGACTTTTCCCCCCTTTAGGGAATAGGATTTTTCTCCTCTGAAATGTCAGAGGTGAAGTAGTTCCAGGAACCAAGCTCCACTGAGCAGCCGTGGGAGTAAGTTATTAGAGCAGCAATTAAAATTGTTGGGATAGAGGAAGTCAGTGAAATGTGAGGCAAGAGGTCGATTGGATGATCACGATGCTTAGAAAGAAAGCCAAGGTCTTCAGGGGAGAGGTTCTGAGCGAAGGCAGGATTGGCCCCGAGTGAAAAGCTCTGTGGGGAGGTTGGGAGCATGCTGCTTCCATCTCCTGTTTGGAGACTCTGGGATATGAGAAAACAAGCAGCATATGTTCCAGGTTCTGGAAAAGTGATACCATCAGAGAAAAACAAGGGTTCTTTAGGTAAGGAGGCGGCGAGAACAATCCTGACTGACTTATGGCAAATGATACTTTCACAGCCAGTGGTGAAATAACCCCAATCCCATGTGCTTCTTAGGAGAGCAGTAGAGGGGTAGGGGAATTATAATGCAGCTCCTGATCCGTTAGCCCCACACAAGGAGTGACTGCTACTCAAGTTCTCCAGTAATACATTCTAGAAGAAAGAAAGGGACCGATATTGCCAAGGGGCTCATCCAAGGAAGAGGCTTATAGATGACTGTCCAAAGAAGTTTTGAAATTGGGAAGAAATTAATGAGGTTTGCGTATAGGCCAAAACAATTCATGATAAAACATTAATTCAATCCTAAATCAAATGTATTTGCTTGGTAGACTTGATCAGAGGCACCCTAAAAAGCAGGAGCCGTCATAAAAACATTATAAAGAAAGTTAAATAATTATCCTTTATCTGGAGAACTGTGGTGTTGACTGGAAGTCAATATTGTCAATTAATAAACTTATGCCAAAAGATTACATTGAATGGTAACTAAAAGAAGATAGTTATGTTCAAAGTCTGCAGAGGCTTCCATATTAAATTTTTACGGTCAAACTAAGTTAATGGCATTGCAAATATGGAAAAAGAAAAGACTGTAGGCTGGTTTTCAGCTTCTTAGATCATTGCTAATAAGAATAGCTCTAGATTTAGAATATTCTTTTTTTAAAATTTATTTTATTGATTTTTTTACAGAGAGGAAGAGAGAGGGATAGAGAGCTAGAAACATCGATGAGCGAGAATCATCGATCAGCTGCCTCTTGCACACCCCGCACCGGGGATGTGCCTGCAACCAATGTAC